AGACTACCCCACCAAAACCTGCCCTCATAATCAGCCTTCTCTTATCGACCCCCTCCCCTCCTATTACCACGGCTCACTTGTACGGAAGGACGAGCACGTTTAAACTTGTACCCGTTTCCATATGAATGTACTGGCCTGACAAGAATTTATCGAAAGTATGCGTACGCTCGCCAAACTAGTCTTCTGAAATCGAAAGACAGTAGAGTACCTCAGGCCAGAAAAAAGCTGCACAAACTGACGCTTACGCCAGTAAGTTGTGTCGAATTTGTATAGTTATTCATGCTCCAGATTATCTGAGATCACGGTAAGTATAATGTGATGTCTAAGTAGTCATTATGCTCAAAACGTTTTGTTGTTTCTGGTGGTGGTTGTGATGGTAGAAATGCAAAAAGATCAAGGGTAAATTTACCGATATCCTCTGCTGACGAGATCGAAGTTGGTTTATCTTCTGGTCTAGGTTCATCAGTTGCAGCGCAGTTCGTTGGTCCACGCTCACACACGCGTTAAGGTTTTTGCGGGCCTCGGACAGCCACACTTGGCAGGCCTTTTTTGCTGTACGGTACTGTTTCTCCGCTGAAGTGACAGTTTCGCAGGACTCACGAACAGCCTGGGTACAAAAGACACATGGGATGAGTAGTTAAAAGGCAAAAGCGGAGCCAAAGGTGATGCTTGTGTAAGGGATGGCGGTATCACCTCCCGCCTCATCCAGTCAATCTCAACACATTCAAACACACCAAATAATATTGCAGCTTACGAACTGGGGAGAAATTCCGTCCGAGGGACAAATAGCAGCCGTGGGAAAACTCGTTTTCCAAATAAATTCTTCGCAACCGCCTCATTCTACAAAGTTTTTTTAAGTGACATTTGACGAATCTGCTAAGTTATTAACATCCACGACCTAAACCTCACTCACACGGATAGCAAACCGTTGAAAAAAATTACCACAAAACCAGATCGTTCAGTCCTCAGAGTCCGGCTCTCAGTCCTGAGAGTCCAGTTAGCTTGCCTATCTTTAGCCTTCCAGGCAAGCACTTTAAGACGCAGTGACCAGTGGAACATATGAGAAGGAAGAGAAGGTGACGCCAACTGTGAGATCTTTCTGCCCGTGGAACTGCAGCGCATTCACCACTTATAATAAGCCGTACTCACTAGGACCCATCATGTAATGATAAAAATGGTGGCTTGGAAGGTTGACAGCTTACAGGATGGTCGGATCCTCCTATAAAGCGAAGGCAAAACAACCGCGATAGTGCGTGTGCCAGGAAGTAACGGAGAAAAAGTAGACGCTATCATTGGAACCAGAGGTTATTCGCCTGACGTTTCTGATTCCAGCTATAACCCATCTTCAGAATGAACAGTAGATAAGGGTGAAACGTAAACAGGGAGTTGTGGTATTTACAGGATATATTCGCTAAGCTACTGCATACCTGTGACAATTAACGACCCCTCCTTCGACGAGAATGATTGTCCTCTGGTGCGCTAATTGCTTGATAGCCGGCATTCGCGTGTGTTACCTGCTGAAATTTAACTGAGCGCCTCCCAGTCTCTAATCAAATGCAGTGACCTGCTTAACCCATATTCAGTGCTGAGACTCGGTTTGGATAAAGCAATTGGCCCCTCAGGGGCGCACAGGCGAACACATTTTCCAATTCTAGATGCCTGAGCAACTATCACATCAACCGCAAACACGGGTGATGAAATTTCGGTGATTAGCGACTCAAAGGCCGGAAATCGATTTTGTCTTGCTGGTGAAATAAACAGGTAAGTGCGGCGTAAGTCGGCTTCACTATAAAGAAAGTCACATGGAGGTCGCTGTTGCGCCATCTCCGACGCAACGGGTGGACCTCGTAACTCGCGAAGTATCAAGTATGATCAACCCCACTCGTTCTCCCCCCCGTGAATCAATAATAAGTTAACTAAGAAGCGCCGAACACCCGTCTCTCGAACGTCACATACACGCTATTGGCTCAGCTCTCACGAACCAAACGTCGTCAAAACAACAGTCTGAGTTTGATAAGTCAACAGCGTCGTTCATGTCTACGTACATGCATGAATGCATAGACACACTTACCCAGATGGACTTCTTCAATCTTTCGAAGGCCTCACTGAGATCTGAACCCATCGCCGCAGTGTCTAGAGGGCAAACTTCAGGGGCTGGAAACAAAACCTCAACAGGGGCGGTTTCAGCAAGCTCCGCTGCAGCTGCAATCGCTTCCAAATCCTCATCCTCCAGCTGGAGCGGTGGCAGTTGTTTAGCCGTCTCAGAGCTCGTCACCAGTTCCAGACTCAGGCCTCGCAGATCTGACGAATACCCTGCCAGCAGGTTCGTTTCGGTACTGAGCCCAGACTCTACCTCATCGTACAGGATTTGCAGACGGAATGCCAGTGCTTTGGGGTCTCCAGGGGCACCCTGGAGCGTCAGAAGATTAACCAATTGGGACTCGCAGGCAGCCACCCTAGCCTTTGAACGGAATCGGGCACGAGAAAACTCGTCCAAACGAGTCGCCAAAGAATTCA